AAGAAAATAAATCCTAAAATGATCTTTGTATGGAGACAGATGGTAACTAGATTTATGCAGCGATCACTTTGCAATGTATATAAATATCAAATCATTATGTTGTATACCTGAAATCAACATGATGTTATATGTCAATTATACCTCTATAGTTTTTTTAAGAGCATGGTAGTATGGAATTCATGGAGTATCAGGGGTAGTGAGTGGTAGGTCCTTGATGCCTTAGAAAGGCAGAAAACAGGGGTTGTTGTAGTGGCTAGAGGACAGAATGTGAAAAACTTGGCCCATGTCAGTCAATCTTGACAGTCTCTTAGGGCTTTAATAGGGGAGTGGCATGACAGATCTGGTGTGGAGCAAGGAGAGAAGATTTAGGAGAATGTTTTAGTAATCCATATGAAAGATGGCTTGATATAAAGTTTTGTGAAAATGATATAGTCAACAGCTTACATGCCTGTTTTTAAAAATCAGATGTGATTTGGCCTCCATGTAAACATGTACAGGGTCCATTTCCTCTTAACCAAGATTAAAGTAGATTTCTAGGGAATTCTAAGTCTGAGATTCTGTGATTTTAACAGGTTTGGGGGCCTAAGAGAGAATTCTGATAATTTAATAGGAAGTGGAGATTATATACTAGTTGAGTCAAATAATGCTCTGATAGTTTCTACACGTAAACACAAAAAGATACATTACAGGTATGATTACCAAAAGAGCATGATGAAGAATAATACAGTATACCTTGAAAGAATCAGAACCTAGGAATAAAAACATATGTTGAAGGAATCGGAACACTGGATCACGGTTCTCAAAGTGTAGTCGCTTTACTACCTGGATTATTTTGAAGTATGTTGCTTAATTTCTAAGGAGGTGAAGACTCTCCAATTACCTTTCTATCACTGATTTCTAGTGTAATTCCATTTCGGTCAGAGAAGCATATTCTATATGATTTCAATCCTTTTAAACTTGTTGTTGTTACCGTTACTATTATCATGATCACCAAGGATATAGTCTCTCAGTGAATATTCCGTGTGCACTTGAAAACAATGCATATTCTGTGATTGTTGGATGGACTACTGTGTAATTGTCAGTTCCAGTTGGTGGATGGTGTTGTTCCCTTCACCTGTCCCCTTGCTGTTTTTTTTTTTTTCCTATTGATTACCGTGGTAGAAGTGTTAAAGTACCCAACCATAATTCTAGTTCTCCTTTAAATTGTATCAGGTTTTATTGCTTCTCAGCCTTTTGGCTAAGATCAAGTGTAAATTGTATCAGGTTTTGCCTCATATATTTTGAAGGTCTGTGATTAGATGCATACCTCTTTAGGGTTGTCTTGTCTTCTTGATGAATTCACCCTCTTGTTATGTGTGTAAAGTCCTCTTGTATCTCTGGTAATTTTCCTTACTCTGAAGTCTGTCGTGTCTGATATTAGTGTAACGTCTCAGTTTTCTTTTGATTAGTGTTTGTGTGGCATATGTGTTCCATCCTTTTACTTTTTACCCACCTTCATCATTATTTTGAAAGTGGATTTCTTATGATAGCATATTGTGAGGATTTTTTTCTTTAATCCATTTTGAAAATCTCTTTAATTATGTGTTCTGAGTATTTAAATTTAATGTAATTACTGATGTGTTTGGATTTAGATATACCATCTTCTCTGCTTGTTCCTCTGATTCATTGCTCTGTTTCCTTTTACTGTCTTTTGGATTATTTGGGTACTTTTTAGTTTTTAATTTTAACTTACCTGTTGAGTTTTTTACACTATATATTGTTATGTGTTTTTTTTCTTAATAGCCACTGTAGGGATTAATATACATCTTTAACTTTTCATAGTCCACTTTTTATAACTGGTTATTTTACTACTTTAAGTAAAACATATGAAACCTCCCACCATATAGGTCCCTTTAGTCCCCCCCTTAATGCTGTAGTTGTCATGTGCCATCTGCATATATTGAAAACCTCATCAGACAATAATGTAATTTTTGCTTTTAACTGTCAAACATACTTTAAAGAACTTAGAGGGGAAAAATAGCCTGTTACACTTACCTATATATTCTATTTCTATTGCTCTTCCTTCAGTTCCTGAATTTTGAAGTTTCCCTCTGCTATGATTTTCCTTTGTATGAAGATCTTCTTCAAATTGTCTTCAGAGCAGGTCTGCTAGCTATGAATTTTCTTTGTTTTCTTCATGTAAGAATATATTTATTTCACCTTCTTCTCTAAAGTATTTTTTTGTTGGATATAGAATTCTAGGTTGACGGTGCTGCATTTAAAAAGTAGTGTTCCACTTCTTTCTGGCTTCCATGAGAAATCTATAGTCATTTGAATGATTGTTCCCTTATATATATGATTTGTTGTTAGTTTCTGGCTACTTACAAGATTTTTTCATTGTCTCTAGTCTCAGTAGTTCGATTACAGTGTGTTGGGCATTGATTTTCTCGGGTTTTCCTGTTTGAAGTTTGCTGAGCTTCTTGTGCTATAAGTTAAGGTTTTTCACCACATTTACAATCTTTCCAGAAATTTCTTGATATTGTTCTGCACCACACTTCCTCTTCTCCTTCTAGGTCTCTGATGGCAGAATGTTAGATGTTTGTTGTTGTCCTACAGGTCCCTGTGGCTCTGTTTATTTTTTCCAATATGTTTTCTTCTCTGTTCTTCAGACTGGATAATTTCTTTTAAGCTACTGAGTTTTCTGATTCTTTCCTCAATCATTTTATTTTGTAATTGAACTACACCATGAATTTTTTATTTCAGTTATTATATTTCTGAGTTCTAATGTTTCCATTGCATTCTTTATTTCATCTATATTTGACCCTTGAGCAATATAGGAATTGGGGTGCCAACCCCCCACACAGTCAAAAATCCACATAACTTTTGATGCCCGCAAAATTTACTAATAGCATACTGTTGACCAGAAGCCTTGCTGATAAGTAGTCAATTAACACATATTATTTATGTCATATGTATTATATACTTTATTCTTAAAACAAAGTAAGCTAGAGAAAAGAAAATGTTATTAAGAGAATCATAAGGAAGAGAAAATACATTTACAGTATTGTAGTTATTTTTTTTTAAATTCACATATAAGGCGATATCTGGGTGGCTCAGTGGTTTGGTATCTGCCTTCAGCTCAGGTCGTGATCTCAGGGTCCTGGGATTGAGCCCTGCATCGGACTCCCTGATCAGCAGGGAGCCTGCTTCTCCCTCTGCCCCTCCCCACTGCTTGTGCTCTCTCTCTCTGTCTCAAATAAATAAAAATCTTTAAAAAAAAATAATAAAGCCACATATAAGCACACCTGTGCAGGTCAAACCTGTGTTGTTCAGCTATATCTCCCTGATGTTATTTTCCATTCATTCCAAGAGTGTTCACCCTTACTTCTTAGAGCATGGTTATATGAGCTGCTTTAAAATCTTTGATAATTTCAACAACCATGTCATATTGGTGTTGAGATCTGTCAGTTCTCCTTTCCCTTATACTTTATTGAGATTTTCATAGTTGTTTATATATTAAGTAATTGTGAATAATACCTTGGACATTTTGAATACTATGTTATGAGACTCTGGGCCTTGTTTAGTTGCTATGGAGAACAATGACTAGTACATTTTTCAGGCAGTTGAATCCAATTTAGATTACAAATTCTTACTGACCTTCAGAGGCTATGTTTCTTATGTCAGTTCAGTTTTCAAGGTGTTTTCAGTGTTATGTGGATAATGTGGATCACTCAGTGACCAGTCTGGGACCTGTAAAATGTTCTATTCCATAGTCCAGTTCTCAAAGACTTTAGTATTCTGTTTAGGGTCAGATCTACCCATGCATAGTTTGGGGGTAAGTCCAAGAGCTTATAAACAACTTTTTGGGATAATTTTCTTGAGTTTCTTCTTCTCTGCATTCTTCCAGACACTTCTTGGTCCCAGGAGCCCCCACATTCCTGGGTTTTTTTTTGCAAGAAAGCTGGCTTTTGTTTTCCCACTTTGTGATACACTTCCTGCAATTCTCTCTGCCTCTGGAGCCAAGTGGCAGGAGGATAGAGAGAGAAAAATGAAACAGGATTCTCCTGCCATCCCATGCTCTTGGGACCACAGTTCCTCAGGTCATAAAGGATTCCCCTTCCTCAGAGTTTTATGTGCCTACCTGGCCAACACTGCCATACTATAATGGAATGTCCTGGAAATCTGGGGTGGGAGGAGAACAACAGAGAAGATTTACCCCATTTGTTCATACTCTTTAGGGGCCCCTTTTCCTTCTCTTCAGACCAGAGAGGGCTTCTTTTGGAGTCCTTTTTATCCATACCATTTCAAGCTGCTGCTGCTGAGTTCAGACCACAGGATATCCCAGGAACAACAAAAGAATTTTCTAAGCACACTTGCTTAATCATGTGAGGGATACAAAAGAAAAGGAAAGGGAACAACATTTATTTGAATACATACCAAAATTTTTAAGTTAACACAATAACTTTACAAAGTAGATAAAACTGGAAGGGGCCAATTTTATCTCTGGATGATGATAAAGAAAGGGACAGTATCCCTTGTCTTCCCAAGACCCTATGCATCACTGGTCCTTAGAGTTTGAAAGGTAAAGTCTATCTCATAATTATGATATGTTAGGGACTTTATGAGTTGAATTTTAATTAAGCACTCCTAGAAGAAAATGCTTTGGTTAAAACTAACAGTTATGCTTTTGGAGAACTGTCGGGCTGTGTGACTGAGCAGCTGGGGGAGATTTAGGGTTTTGGAGACTTTCTCAATAGTCCTCACTTTATATTGTTGAATGACAACCTATTCTGCCAGAATTACCACATATGGCCACATATGTTGTAGACTCTGGGAGAAGTTTTGTGGGGTTTATTTTCTCATGGATTTTGATGTGAACGGAACCTCCTGAAGCTGTGTGCATTTTGGCAATGTGCCCTACTCATAGCAAAGATCCTGGATAATGAAAAGGTATGATGTAGCAATGACAGCATATCATCTCTTTTCTTCATTTACTCTCTGCCTCTTTCCTCCTCTCCCAGTGTTGGAGGAAGATGACCGTTACCTCTCCAGAGTCTTTGAGTCTCGCTAGAAGAAGTCATCCATTCTCCCAGAGTGCCCCAACAGAATTGAACTGCATGGGCTGGCCAGAGTACATACCTGACACTGGTGAGTTATGTGCCTCTCTCTTCTGTTTTATACTCTGATGTCCTGGAAAGAAGGACAAGAAGTGAGAGAGTGTTGTTGACTGCTATGTTTGTCTGGCAGAAGTAGCTTAAAGGTGAGACAGATAAACCAGTGTCTCTTATCCCTTCAATTAGGAAGGGGTCCCTAGCACCCTGAGAAAGGGAATTCTTGGACGGGAGAAGACTCCATTATTGAATCCCCAAACCTGTCTCTCTTTGTTTATTTTAAGCAGAACTAATGACCACCTCTTGGGTCTTGTAATAGGATATAATTTGCAGAAGAAATAATCACAGAGAGTTGTCTCCTAATCCAGAATGTAACTTGAGTGTTTTCCCTTCTGAGGGACAAGCCTCTTCCTCTAGTTTTATGGCCATTTCTGTGAGTCCATTTCCCAAATCTATAGCAAACAGCCTCACATCACATATTTGGTCATAAAAGGGCTAGCCTTTGTGCCAGAAGGAAGCTGGGCCCCAGGGAGAGCCAGGATAGGGCATCGTTATACACAGCCACCACCTGTCCTAGACCTAACCCAGGATAGGCTGGATATGCTGAAAATGCTCAAGGGCTTCTGGTGGGAGGACAGGTGTTAGGTCTTGAGCGGGTGCAGATTATATTAGATGGCAACATTACTGTCTGAAAGCTGGCTAGAGGGGGAAGCCAAATACGGTGTTTATGAAGGATAGAGAATGGTAAAGCCCTAGACAGGATTAAAAAGGGCAAACTAGATACACCTGTCAAACATGTACTGTGCCAAGGCCTGGGGAGTGGGAACAGGACTGGCATTCAAGGCAAAAGATGATAGGAGCAGAGGGACCAGGCTCTGAACATCAGAGTATGGCATATGCCATCCTGAGGAAGGTCAACTCTGATGTAGACCTGAGTCCTGAGCTTTGAATCCAACTCACTGCATACTGGGTGCTGGTCCTGGGGGAAATGACTACTCTGATTAGCTGGTGGACATTAATTGTTTTCCATTAGCAAATGTATGTGCTTATGCTGCATCGTGCAATGGACTTTTATTCTTTCCCAGGTATGGTTGTGATCTTAAGTTCACAATGAGAAAAGTCATGAAAAGGTATTTTCGAATGATGAAAGAATCTTTTCAAGGGAAAAAAAAAAGATATTTCTAACATAGCTCTTCATTAAGTCATGGGATTATTTAGAGGCTCATGGAAGGGTCCATAATGGGTTAGAGTAGCATTTTTCCAGCAATAATCCTCAAGGCTGATTTTGACCCTTGAAGTTAGAACTTTCTTACAAAGCCAAAGCTTAATAATCACATAGTGCTATTATTTCAGAAGTTCATTTGAATTAATTGACAGGTGAATTTATTACAGAATAAGAAGTTAAAAAACCTCAGTCACACATTTGTCCTGGTATGTTTGCATATCAAGAACACTGGTCCAGAGGTTCAGGGCTCTGGCTTTAGCTGCACTTGATATGGGGATGAGAAATTGGGCACACCCCTCTGTTTCTCTGTACTTCAGATTCCTTTATTATTCAAAAACGGAGTGATAATTCCTGCTTTCCCATTTCATTGGGTTAATACGAAGGTCAAGTTAATATGGGCTTGGGTCTCTGCAATTTACCTTAGAAAAGCCTTCTTTTCTTTAATTATTGCTTCTACTCCAACTGTTCTGTTCCAAACTTCTGAGATTTCTACTTTCTATAGATTATATTTCCAGTTTTATCCTTGGAACCTCTCTCATCATTTTCATTTTTTTTACCCCTTTTTCCTCTTAGTTCTGGGAGAATTTCTTAGGCTTTTTTTTTTCTTCTTTGTTTTTCTGGGTTTATCTGTTAATTGCCTTCATTGGGATTTGTGATTCAATGATCACACTTTTAATCTCCATTAAATCTTTCCAGTATCCTCTAGAAGCTTGTTAAAAACAGAAAATAGAGAATTTTGTAAAAATTTTCTCCTTTTCATGTTTTATAAATTCATTTCCAAATTCATCTGCATTTCTTTTGACTAGTAGTTTTTCTTTAGGTGAAATTTCTCTGTTGGCTTATCCTTACAGACATCAGTCCTTCGCCAGCAAGGGCTTGTTATCATGTAGCACTGGAGACAGCACCCTTTCAGAGACTGTTATAGGTTCCTGTTAAAATCCTTTAAACACGGCTGAGCAGGAAGTGAAAAGTTAAGCTTTCCTATAACATATATCACAAGTTCAGTCACCTTGGAGGAAGCTGTAAACAGTTCCAGCTGAAAGCTTTGCCTCTTGCCAGTATTTCTTTTCTATGTCTGGAGGAGTAGCCAAGAATTAGCCTGATGTGGGAGCATGCCACCCTCTGCCCCACAAGTTGGTGCCCAGGATAAATTGCTCCACATCCACTCCTCTCTTGGTGGAGCCAGCAGAGCCAGATACAACTCTTCAAGTCGCCAGCACAGCAGATGCACACAGCATCACATAAAGCCCTCTGCACCTCCAGAGCCCATGCCTATGACTTAGGAAGGGTTGGCAGGGTTCTACCAGGCATTTCCCTACATGCTTTCTGGCTGCATTGCTATTTCAAAGTTATGGGTCACTTCTTTCTTCAGGCCAGTTATATCTTTACTGTATCTTGTGGCTGAATTTCTCTCTATTTTTTAAACAGCTTTATCAAGATATAGTTCACATACCATAATATTCACCCATTTAAAGTATACAATTCAGATTTTTAGTCTATTCACATACATCACAAATTTCCCTATTCTGGATTTTCATGCAAATGGAATCATATAAGACCTGGTCTTTTGTGACTGGCTTTTTTCACTTAGAATAATGTTTTCAAGGTTCATCTGTGTTGTCACATGTATCATTCCTTTTGATGACTGAGTAATATTCCACTGTATAACTGTACCACAATTTGTTTATCTGTTCATCTGCTGGTGGACATTTGGCTTGTTTCCAACTTCTGGCTATTATGAATAATGCTGCTATAAAAATTCATGTACAAGTTTTAGTGAAGACATATGGTTTCATCCGTATACATTAGAGTATAACTGGTGGGTCAGATGTTAACTCTATGTTGAATCATTTGATGAACTGCTAAACTGTGTTCTAAAGCAGCTGCCCCACTTTACATTCCCACCACCAGTGTAATTTCTCCAACATCCACATCCTAACCCACACTTGTTATCTGACTTTTTGATTCTATTCAAACTAGTGGGTGTAAAGTGGTATCTCACTATGGTTTTGATTTGCATTTCCCTTTTTATGTATTTATCAGCCATTTATAGATCTTATTTGGGGAAATGTCTATTCAGATCTTTTCCTCATTTTTTAAAGTTTTTGTTTAAATTCCAGTTAGTTAACATACAGTGTAATATGAATTTCAAGTGTACAATTTAGTGATTTAATACTTCCATACAACACCCAGTGCTCATCACAAGTGCATTCCTTGATCCCTATCACCTATTTCACACATTCTCCCACCTACCTCCCCTCTGGTAGCCATCAGTTTGTGTTTTAATGGGATATTTGTCTTTTTTTTATTGAGTTGTAAGTGTTCTTTATATACTGGATACACATCCATTATCAGATAAATGATTTATAAATATTTTCTTTCTCCTATTCTGTGGTTTGTCTTTTCATTTTCTTGATGGTGTCCTTTGAAGCACAGAAGTTTTTTTTAAATTTGATGTCGTTTTTTTCTTTTGTTGCCTGTGCTTTTGATATCATGTCTAAGAATCCTTTGCCCAATCCAAGGTCATGAAGATTTGCCCCTGTTTTTTCCTTAGAGCTTTATACTTTTAGCTCTTACATTTAGGTTTTTTAGTTGAGTTCGTTTGCATGTGGGTATCCAGTTGTCCCAGCACTACTTGTTGAAAAGACTATTCTTTCCCCTTTGAATGGTCTTGGTACCCTTGGAAGTTCATCATAGATGCATGGATTTATTCCTGTACTGTCAATTGTATTCTACTGATCTGTGTCTACCCTTGTGCCAGTACCACACTGTCTTGTTTACCATTGCTCTGTAGTAAGTTTTGAAATTGGGAAGTGGAGTCTTTCCCCTCCTTTACCCTTCATTTTAAGGAATGTCTAGGCTATTCTGAGTCTCTGGCAATTCCATATGAATGTTAGAATCAGGTATCAATTTCTACAAAGAAATCAGCTAGGATTCTCATGAGGATTGTGTTGAATCTGTAGATAAGTTTGGAGAGTATTGCTATCTTAACAATGTTGAATTTCGGATGAAAAACCTAAATGTGAGAAAGGAATCCATCAAAATCCTAGAGGGGAACATAGGCAGTAACCTCTTCGACATTGGCCACAGTGACTTCTTTCAAGACATGTCTCTAAAGGCAAGGGAAGCAAAAGCACAAATGAACTATTGGGACTTCATCAAGATAAAAGAAAATAGTCAACAAAACTAAGAGGCAACCCATGGAATGGGAGAAGATATTTGCAAATGACATTACAGATAAAGGGCTGGTATCCAAGATCTATAAAGAACCTATCAAACTCAACACCCAAAAAACAAATAATCCAGTCAAGAAATGGGCAGAAGACATGAACAGACACTTCTCCAAAGAAGACATACAAATGATTAACAAACACATGAAAAAATGTTCCACATCACTAGCCATCAGACAAATACAAATCAAAACAATGATATACCACCTTACACCAGACCCGCATCGGGCTCCCTGCTCAGCAGGAAGCCTGCTTCTCCCTCTCCCACTACCCCCTGCTTGTGTTCCCTCTCTTGCTGTCTCTCTCTCTGTCAAATAAATAAATAAAGTCTTTTAAAAAAAAAAACTAATGATGTACTATATGTTGGCTAATTGAACATAATAAAAACAAAACAAAACAATGTTGAATTTCCTGATCCACAAACATGGGATTTTTCCCCCATTTATTTAGATCTTCGTTTATTTCTTTCAACTATGTTTCATTTTGTTCAGAATACAAGCTGTACTTCTATTGAAAAATTCATTCCTAAGAGTTTTACTCTTTTTTGTTGCTTTATGAATGAAAGTTTTTTAATTTTCATTG